AAAATGTAACTGCTGCTTTCCAATTTCCATTCAGAAGCCATCTTCTGCGTTTTAGATAGGCTTCTAATAGCAAAAAGTTTGTGAATTGTAGAACAAAGGAAAAATATGGCACTACCCAAGTGTAGTAGCATTGTAATATCTGAGACCTTTTCAGGTGAATAATTCTCAGACACAGCCCCTAAAACAATAGTACCACTTCACAGCCATTTCCATATTTGGTAGCATAGTGCAATATGGTGACAATGTCAGGAATATTCCAAAGGTATAGAAACGTCTGTACTAAACTGGGAAGGAAGGAGGAGGAAGTACATTAGGGAGGATGAACCCTTCACCAGGGTGAATGCACATGCACATTTATTGAGCTTTCAGATACTCATGTCTTGCTTCCCTTTCTGCTTTACCCAGGTAGAGGTTATTTAGAGTTATTATGAAAAGAAATGCAATAAACATATGTTTTGAAAATGACCATGAAATACTGCTGTAAACACAAGTTCACTGTTTATATATGGAGCATGCTATGATTGCAGCTCATTTTTAGGGTAGGAGTATTCTGCTTGTCCTAATGAGTTCATCAAGAAATAGAGAAGAACTGCTCTTAATATTCACACCTTTGGTTTTAGTGCTGATCACATACACTCTTGTTCTAGTGTTCTTTTTAATAATAAATTAAAGCAATCAACAGAAAAACTTCATTAATGGGATTAATGTTCAGACTGATATACATTAAACATGAGGCTAATAAAAGTGACTTGAAGTTTTGAGTAATTAGGTACAAATGGAGATGTTAATATGCTGTTCTCTGGTAGCAGGAACCTCTGTTTCAGTACAAGCTCTGCAAGAAGGAGAGTCCTGGCAAAACAGGCTGGACTGTAGTTGGGAAGATAAACAGTAGATGCCTGTTCTTAATCCTTCAGAAGTCAATACTACTTGTGTATTTAGTTATCTTCTTATATGCATTCAGAGAAAAAAATCAGAGAAAAAAAAACAAATATTAAACAGAGAAGAAATTTCTTAGTTTTGTGCATTTTGTAGTTTGTGTATCTAACTTGCTAACTTAAATAAAATGTGGATGGTTACTTACCTCTTACCATTTGATTACTGGCTTTTCTAAGTACCTTTGTTAAGTGATGCCCCCCCCTCCCCTTTTTGTTTCCATTCCATTTGTTATCTCTGTAAATGAGATTAGTTAATAACACTTTAAAAAAAAAAAAGTAAAATGGAAGAAAAAATAAAACCCCAACCTAGCAATGCGAGGCGCAACATTTTTTGTGCAAGGTCAGCCCACCATTGCACGCATCTTGCACATCTTTATTGCTACAACACAGCTGGAATATCTTGTAACTGCATATTTAATTGGAAACTAGACGAGGAAACAGGGTTTGTAATTTTATTACAGAAATCTTAACTTTATATTTTTTTGTGTTATTCTTTCTGATATTTCACTGTAGGCTAAAGGTATTCAAAACTTAGTTCTGGTATATAGATGCCAGAAGAAGATCATCATTAATTTAAGACCATTGCACTGCAGACATATGTATTTTTCATTTTGGTTCACAATATGTTTGAATATTTTGGATTAACAGGTTCTATACATTAGTATGTTGCCAAGTATTCTTTAAATCAGGTGCAATGTTTTCCATAACCAAAAGTAGTCTTAGCTCAAAGCTTTAAAATACAAGTGTAACAATAGTCCCAGAATAGTCCTGTTAAGTGAGGAACTTATTACAATTTGACAGTGATGCATATTGCTACTATGAGAGAATATCCTTTTCCTGCCAGAGTTGGGAATGACTTTCCTTTATGTTTTGTGTTTTTATAAAGTGTGTGTATCTCCTCGGTGTGTTGCCTGTGCCTGTAAGGCAGCGTAAGCAGGGAGTGGGTTCTGCTGAATCTTGCCTGCTGTGTCAGTTCTCCAGATCGGTGTGTGATGGAGCTGTGTGCCAGCAGTGCTGTGAGTCCTCTGTGAGCGGTGAGGCTGTGCAGGGGACGCAGCTGTGTGGCCATAGCAGGGATCGACTTTGTCTGTACTGCCTGCCATTTACCTGCATCGTTGTAATCCTTCAGCGACTCCATCACTGTTCCCAGTGTTTGCTAGCAAAGGGGAAATAAATACTTAAGGTAGATGTGGTTGGACTGGATGTGCTGGCCTTGTTGATTGGTGGCACTGAACCGCTTAAATAGTTTGCAGTTGCAGTCAGGTATTTTTGCCGTCTGTCACCTGTCTCCCTGTGCAGTGGATGGTGCGTGCTTCCTCCTGGATAGAAACAGTGTTGCTTTCATGTACAGGGGGAGGAGAGACCTGTGTATGTGTCTAAGTGCTGTTCTTGGGTGACTTTGATGGGCAGGGGACTGTTTTCTCAGGCCATTAGGAGAGAAACAGAATGTATGGTTGTGAGTTTTGGGGAGTTATTAAATTATTTTATTAAGGAATCAAAATATATATTTCTTCATCCTTCTCCCATGAAACATTGTTTGCCACATCAGTAGTGATGCAGCAGTGGCCTGAGCTTAGTCTATTACTGCTCAAAATAGCTCAAAATCTTTGACTACTCTATGCTTTTCGAAATTTTGAATTCTTGATTTCTTTTCCTCACTGTGTTTTCTGGTTAGTAAATTCAAACCTCTTTTTATAATTTTTTGCCCATTGAAACCAGTTCTTATTTTGATAATTGTAATTCTGTTTTGTTTTGGGGTTTTTAAATTTAAACTGATTATGTTAAACTCTAATAAGTATAGGGAATCCTAATCTCTGGACCCACATTAAATTGAGTAGGAAATTAAAAGTAATTGGTACGTATTAAAATAATAAGTCCTTAAAATCTTCTTTGGTCTACATATTTATTTATTTTCCAAAGCATTTTAGGGAATGATGGATTATAAACTTTGAGGTCACCAAAGATATTTTAGCTGTATTGGCACAGGTATATGAGAGGTCACAGCTGCTTGTTGCTTGCCCTGGTGTTGCTGCCTGTGCACTGTGGCAGGCAGGTGCTCCTGGTGCTTTGCACTGGTGTACAGTGAAATGGGCTGAAAATTGTGCTGATTGGGTTAATGAGCAGCTTTTCAAAACCATGAATTACAGTTTCTTCAAATACATGACAAAATGAGTGTTTTGCTTTTGCTGATTTCATGATGAACAGGTGCATAACATCACTTTTAGAAACTGCCAAGTCTTTCACAGAATCACTGAGTAAGCTCAGCTGGAAGGGACCCACAAGGGTCATGGAGTCCAGCTTCTGGCCCTGCTTAGGACATCCCCAAGAGTCACCCCATGTGCCCAAGAGCATTGTCCAAGCGCTTCTTGAGCTCTGTCAGCCTTGGTGCTGTGAAGCCTCATTTTTTAGTAACAATTTATTTCTACACATTGAAATGGTTAATGGTAAGAAATAGGAAGAATAAAAGATTCTTGTTATCATGGCATGGTTTGTTTTTCATAGAATGCTACTCTGCTTTAACCTTTCTAAGCTATAGGACAGCATTGCTATTGTGAGTAAAAAGCCATAGTTCCCTGTAGACTCCTAAACTCAATGTTCCTGGGTAATTCAGTGCCCAGATGAGGTTTCAGGCTCACGTTATTTCTGCTCCTGTCAACTTACTGCTTCATTTTATTGAAAAGAATTATGTTTCAAGGCAGTATACTGGTCTATCTAGCTGATGTTTTTTTCTCATGCACAGGATGGTCACAGATGTGAAGGACCAAAAGCTACTGAGGGTGCAGTAAATAACAAGGAAATGTTCTTTAGCAGTTGATCTGAATATTAGTAATTTATTGAGAAGCCAAAACTTAAATTCTCTGAATTTTAGAATAGCTGAATCTTGACTTTTACAAGAAAAGCAACCATCTAAACACATGGTAAAGAAACTATGAATTACATCCATAGAAGAAAGCAATAGAGAACTAAATGTTTATAGTGTGATGAATGTTGTGATGGGATGTGGTACTTTGGCTCTGGAAAAAATATGAATTATTCTTTTTTAGGATACTGAATATTTTGAAGGGATTTTTGTGTATTTTAATAGACTTGTATGTGCTAATGAATTATTCTTTTTTAAGGATACTGAATATTTTGGAAGGGATTTTTGTGTATTTTAATAGACTTGTATGTGCTAGAGTAATTATGGTTTTAGACATTAATTACAATGAAAATCCACAGTATAAGATTTTGGAAGTCTGAAAACTGCATATGTAATTTTTGAAACAGTGGTTGCTTTTTAGCTGCATATTTCAAATGCGATTTCAAAGGAATATCTATAATCTCCAGAATTTAAAAATCTTTATTACTAGTCTTAAAAAGACACAGTTTTCTTTAGCATCAGCAAATAGATTTAAGCTACCTAAATTTTCAATGCATTTCCAATTGTAATAAAAATCTACTACATGGAAGAGCAAAAAAATGCTTATTCACCTTGTGTCTTAAAAAACTTAAAACAAGGAGAAAGACAACTTGGATTTAGTAAAGACAAAGTGAGTGTTCAAACCTCTTACTGCAAATGGATTTAACAGTTTAAAATCTTTGAAACTGATGCATGTGGTATGGAATCCTAATTACAGGATATATTTCCCTTCTTTCTGTGTGCTGTTAAATTCGGGTACCTCTTGGCATGGTCTTTGTGTTTTACATTGATCAACCAAAAGTCTGTTGGCTGTACTCCATTGCATACTCTTGTTGAATATGTATTGTCCCAAGCTATGACTGTAAATATATAATGTGCTAAAGTATTTGGTAGCATAAGGATATTTACAGAACAGGAGAACAGAGAAATGTCTATACAAAATATATTCCTCCAGTATGTTCCTTTGGAGTTAATGGCAGTTGTAGTGCTAAATATAGGAACACTTTTTAAAAAGTAATAGTTTTCATCATCACTAGGAAATAGTTGGACATTTATAGGTGAGCAAATCAGCATTTTAGTTCATTTTTTAAAGCATGGTAGCTTCAAAGCCACTGAAACCTGACTGAAATTTGTGTTAACTGGAATTGTGTGTTGTGTTCCCCTAGGAGGAACAGGCTGCTAAACTGAAAGCTGAGAAGATTAGGGTTGCATTAGAGAAGATTAAAGAAGCACAAGTGAAAAAGGTGAGTTAATTTTACCCATTTATAAGACCCTTATTTTATGATTTTTTTCACCTGGAAAATGCAGGCAAGCTTCATTTGTATCTATTAGCCTTAAGTTGCCCTTTATAAAATAAGAACACTGCAGTGTTCTAATCTTCCATGGTAATGTGCTTTCCCATCTAGACTGGACCTAATCAGGAGAAGCCTAAGATATGGAATAGCATGATGTTTTTCTTAAGGAATAGCTTGTTTTTCAGCTAGTGCTCATTGGGAAGATTTCACCAACTTCCACCCAGAACTGAAATGAGGGTCCAGCCTCCTGAGATTGTTCTTGTACATTCTGCAGTCACATATTTAAAATTTGTGCCTGTTTTCTTCACAGCCTTTTCTTCACAAGCCTTTTCCCATTATGCATAGCAGGATTTGCCAGTGCTAAATGGAAGAGAAGTATTCCAGACTAAAGACAGAGATTACCAAATGGAGAAAGTCTACTGCCATTACTCGATGTACTCTCAAAGAATACAGAGTGCCCTTAAAATTTAGCATTTTTATTTTATGACAGAAGTTTTTCAGTAGCTTAAAATGCCTTTTTCATTAATTATTTGTAGATCAAAAGCTGAAAAACTGTCTTGGCTGGAAGATGGAAATTAACAAGTCAATTGTACCAGTGTATTACAGCTAGTAGGTTTTATCTTTTCCAGCTGAACAAGGTATAAAAATGGAAAAAATAATGATTGGCAAAAAGAATCTGTTGTTCTTTAGTCTTCTGATTGGTTTAAAAAATGGCTGTTTTTTTTGTTTCTGGACAGTGACCTCTTTAAAATGCGTATGAAAAACCATTGTGTTTTAAAAGCAGATTTTTTTTTTTCACACTACCACTTCATATTTCCCAGAAAAGTAAGGTTTAATGTTGCTATATTGTTTACATAATACCCATTTTTAGAAAATACTGTAGGAAGCAGGCAGAAAGCTTAAACTGCACATCTGAAAAATTCTGATTCTTTGTAAGCTTGTGCAGAGCTCTTATATCTATGTTTGTTCTGCCTAGATATTGTCTGAAAGACACTTTATTATCAGGACACTTCAGCAGGAAGGATTTTTTTTCCTTCTTAACACTCAACTGAAGCACTTTCTCATTGTGCTGGAAACACCTTTATATTTACTTTCTTGTGCTGAAGGAGAACAGTATCTTGTTAAATGTCTGTGATACAAATATCTAGCCATCATTTATGACATCTTACATTTTCAGGGAGTGTTTTCATTGAATTTTATGCTACTGTAAGAAAACCTCAGAAGAATAAATAAGATCTTAGAAACCTTATTTTTATTTGAAATGTGGCAGATGAATCCTTCTCTTTGTTTTCTTAATTTTCTGCTTAACAGTTGGTGATCAGAGTCCATATGTCTGATGACAGCTCAAAAACAATGATGGTGGATGAGAGGCAAACAGTGAGACAAGTATTAGACAATCTGATGGACAAATCACATTGTGGATACAGTTTAGACTGGTCATTAGTGGAAACCATCTCTGAATTGCAAATGGGTAAGTAATACTTATAAGCATTTCTAATTCTTATTCATTGATGCAGCAGTAGTCTACATTCTCAGAATGATTTAAATACTTGTCTTCATAATGTTCATCATCCTGTTCATTAATGTAGTAAATGCTAATTCATGTAATAAAGCTCATGACTGAACTTGTTTCAGAATGGTCTGAAAATTCTACTTCAGTGTGTTTAAAAGGATGAGAAAGTTGGTCTAGTGTTTTCCCAAAGATTTCTTTTTCTTTATTTTGCAATGAGTATTTTCAGCTATTTTCTACCATTTCAGTAAATTTTCCTCTTTTTCTTTATGCTATCCTTTTTTGTCTATTTTCAGTATTCTGAAGTTCTAGCACTAGTGGTAACTTTTTCAATGGAGAGTTAAAGCTCAGAGCTTTGACTGAGAACCAAAGTTCTCAGAGGCTGTTGTTGATACATCATTTATTGAGCAACAGAGATCATAGGAAGTAGAAGGTGTCAGTTTTCAGATTTCTTTGCAATACCTGTACTAGCTATGGTATTCTGCATTTCAGAAGCATTTTGTTTTCCTTCTGATCATTGCCCACTACTTTTTGATGCTTTGTGAGTGAGATCATTGGGGATGTAGAAAGAAGTTTTGTGCCAAAAAAGCTGCCCGATCCATTCCTCTGGAAATTGTGTTGACCAGAAAACACATAAATGTGATAACCTTCTTATTTGTGCTCATAAACTTTAAAATGTTATCATTTGAGTCTGCAGTGTTCCTGCAGGATGGTAGGCCCTCTCAGATTAAAAAAAACTAAAACATTTCATATGTTGATGGAACTATAAACTTGAAGATAACGGAAAGTCCATGCTGAGTGACTGGATGTAAAATAATTAAACCAAGCATGTCTGGAAGTGGACTAAGTTCTTTTATTTTCTTAGCATAACCTTCTTCCCCACTGTAGTAGATCTTGAACACTATTTTCTCTGCATATATGCCTTGTCTCTTAGAAATGACTACAGATTAATGTCTGTCACAAAATGCAACAGATTCCAATGTATTTGCCTCACTTGTTATTGTTGCAGAAAGGATCTTTGAAGATCATGAAAATTTAGTTGAAAATCTCTTGAACTGGACAAGAGACAGTCAAAACAAACTAATGTTCGTGGAACGTATAGAGAAATACGCACTTTTCAAGAATCCACAGGTAAGCCTGAGGTTTGTACTGAATGTGTGTGTGGCTGATGGCAGTTTCTTACTTTTTTGATAGCATTCGTTTCCATACTTTCATTTTGGTACTTGTGTATGTGCTAAAATGTCAGGCAACTTTACACTTCAGCACTCTGTACATCCACAGTGTTGTTGGCACAAAGTCAATCCTTAAGAGACAGCCATGAGCTGAAGCAATCTGTTAGCTAATTTGTATATGAGTAGTTTTAATGCACATGAAGGCAGGCAGTTTCCAGGGATTTACACCATACTTAGTGCTGCTCAATTATGTAAACATGCAAGAAAGGTGTTGACAGATATTGCTAATAGTGATGTCTCTCCACTGTGCATTCTTGCATTGCTGGCAAGAAGGGAAAGACAGAATCAAAGAGAAAAGCCACTCCATGGTCAAATGGCAAGAGAAGAGACAGTGTGCCCCTTCCTGTGGAAGTCAGGCCCTGCCTATATTCACCTGTTTCCTGCTCCCTGGCTGAGAAATCAAAGGCTCCTCTTCCTCTCAAATGGCCTCAAAGACCTCTCTTCTCTCAAATGGTAGCTACAGACTTGGTATCTGGCAGCACTGCTGTATTGTAGGGGAGTGGAGGAAAAGAAACAGAAAAGCAGAAGGTGGCTCTTGGAAGAATTTGTATTGAAAATTCACTTGATCTCTTGTCTGTAATATCACTTGAGCTCTGTCTTAACTCTTACCTAATGTATTCCCATTTGAGTTTATAGATTATTTTTATATCTGTATGGCATCTATATGCTAATTTATTGGATTTAAACTGGGTATCAGTTTTGCGTGCTCGTCCTATGTGACATCAGTTTGCTTGATTTTATTTCTTTTTCAGCAAGACCTGAAACAACCCAGGTCTTATGCAAGTGCTTTGCACTGAAGCAGCAAAACTATACATTCTTTTTAAAAGTTTGTAGATTATAGGTTTACTCTCAGTACATATAGTAGGCACAAGAGTGAGGTACCAGTATAAACCCAGTATTTCTCCTTGTTTTAAAATATTGAACTGGTGAAACTTTGTGAATATTTGGGGTGTTTTCCAGTATTAGAGCTAGGGATTGGGAAGATGTTTTTCATTGTCTCAGTCTTTTCCAAACTGAATAAGAGTTAAAAACTCATTAAATAAGATTCGGTGCTTGTGCATAGTTAAGTTCCTTTACGAAGTTGACAAGTAGTTTGTTTAGAATTTATTATTATTTATTTAGTATTTATTTATAATTCTTTGTGAAAATAAATATTTCTATTCAGTAAAACTCAGACCAAGATGAAAAGAAGTACATTGCTTCTCTGTGTGCTTCTTTGAATGCAGAAATAATGACAGTATGTAACAGATCTCCAGGGGTTGTTTATATTTTTTTATTGTGGTGTTTACAGGTTCGTAGTATTTTTATTTCTGGATGCATTGTAACAGAGAGCTGTTTGATCCTTAGAAAAGCAGGATGATGTTGTTATGAGTCTGTTAGGTAGGAGTACGGAGTGATTGATACTTCTGGTAAAGATAGTTATAAGTTACTTCAATGTATTATTTAGTAGTCTGACGGTTTCAATTAGTCTACAAAGTTTTGTTCTTACTGCTACAGAAAAGTAAACAAGAAATGCCATTTGGCTTGATCTCAGAATGCCTAAAGAAATTGGGAACTTTATTTTGTTACAGAACTATCTTCTGGGGAAGAAAGAAACCTCTGAGATGGCAGACAGAAATAAAGAGGTGCTACTAGAGGTAAGAATGTCAAACCAGAAAGGACACAGTAGTCATTTTGGAGCATGAAGACAAACTGCTAAAGGTTGTGGTGATTGAAGTTGATGGACAGAGCAGAATGTAATTCTGGAAGACTGTGAATGGAATGTGTTCTATTTGAGATAAATGGCTGTTGTAATGTAACACTGTTTCAAATGTGATTAGTTTAAAAAAGTTTCTGTACTTAGTTTAGTATCTGAAATACCATACACAGTGATAATCAAATTGAGGTTGACTCTAGCTATGGCTAAAACCATTAATTTCAAGTTGAAATTTGAATTTGTGACCTGTTTTTTGACCTGTGGTGCTAGAGAATTTTTACTAGCACTTTCCAAATTTTCATTTCTACAAAATTCCAGAGCATGGATCTGGAGACTGGTTTAATTTAATATTTCAAATTTTGATAATAAAGCAGTAAAATTTTTTTCAATTACAATTTAAAATTTAAAAAACCAAAATACTGAATTTTAAGAAATGCATGACAGAAAACTAATTATTATCAAACACATTAACCAGTTTACAGAAATAAGAGCATAAAAGTGTGGAGCAAAAAAAGCACACAGTAAATATAGCCTTCATAGGCTGAAAACTAATTACTTTTGTGACATGGCTGAAGTTCCATAGGTTCCACTTGATTTCCAGAATAATGGTTATGATTTGCACAGTTACCCAAAGGGTAATATTTGGGGTATTTAATTTTGGATTAAACTTAAAACAGTTTAAATTAAAAGTAGCATATGCATTTATTAATATATTGTTAATATGGGTTGTAATAAGTGTGTGTATGTATACTGTGGATGAAAAAATTGTTTGAAGCCTTAACATGCAGAGAATTGTAATTCTGCTTAACTCTTTTTGTCTTCTAAGATTATTCATAAGTCTCTGTGCTGCATATTAATCTGGAGTGTATTTAAAGCATTTGCTTTTCTCTGCTAGTTCGTTGTAAATAGAATGTTAGCAGAAGTTGCAGTGTTGTGGGCAGTTAGTGGCAGTGAAGTACTCCTGAATGAATTGCAGCTGTGTCTGATGGATGCACAGTTAGGTTTGTGTGTGCTTATACATATGAGGCTAGATAAGGTGACCTTGTGACCTTAAAGCCAGTAAAGCCGTGGGGATCTATTACTGAGAAGCAGTGGTCAGAACATCTTTACAGTGGCTGCTAATGATTTTTCTGTCATTGTTGCATGGAGCAAATGCTGAGACACCCTATCATGCTTGTCTGAATTACCTTATTGCTTCTGTGATTTATCTGCAGTTCATATCTCATGTGAAAAAAGAGCTGTCCCTGCTACAAGTGCATTCCTTGGATAAAGAATTTCAGTTATTCAAAACAAACCACTGCACGCTCTCTGTTCTCTCTGTTTCCCAAACTGCTCTGTTTATTGGCAGGAATGCTTCTGTGGAAGTTCTGTAACTGTGCCAGAGATTGAGGGAGTTTTGTGGCTGAAAGAAGATGGTAAGAAATCTTGGAAGAAACGTTACTTCCTTCTTCGGGCTTCTGGAATCTACTATGTCCCTAAAGGGAAGGCAAAGGTATGCTACTTAAAGCAATTGCTCTGAATTGTTTATTGCTGGTAAACAGTGCACACAAGAGTTGGCTTTAAGTTTTGGCTTAGCTGTGCTTTTCCAAGTGCCACATCCCTTAATTAAAATGCTGGCTTTATCCTGGAAATACTGTGTGAATTTTTGTGGCAGCACTTGATGTGAAGGGTGTAACCCAAGTTTAAAAATACAAGAATACAGGGGACTGCTTCTTGGGTTAGTTGTTCAGAAATACTTGAGAAAAAACTTTTGGTGGAGCTAAGAAGCTGGTCTTTGCTGAAGCAGAATTTGGATGGAGAACCAAATTGCTCTGCAAATGTCGATTATGAAGTATCAGACCAACTCCACAATGTCTGCATAATTTCATTATGTTTGGTTAGTTCATATAAATGGGATTCTTTTTGGACCAATTGGTGCTACATTTTTTGAAACTGGTATATGTAATTCCATTTCTTCAGGATCACTTACTGCTGTTCTCTGTGTCAGTAATGCAGAATAAGTAGAAAGACACTACAAATACATTACAGCTTCAAGGCTGAACTACTGTGAGTTCACGTCATCCATGAATCCATCAGTCTTGACAGCATCAGATGATTCCCAGTGCAGGAAGTCCACCTCCCACACATCTGGGAATGAAAAGGAAATCTCTATCAGCAGGACAGCTCCCTTTAGAGCTGAATGCATGTCAGATGTTCTTTCCGTAATCTTTTGCTTCATTAAAACAATCTGTATGCGAGTAGCCTTTTGAAATTCTTTGCCCTACACTCAATGCCAAACATCTTTAGAATTCTACTTACAGTCACACTGGAATTTGGACATCTTGATTATTACCAAGGTGAAATATAACCAGCAGCTGATAACTTCCTGCTCAACCAATCATACTTAATTTCTCCTGATGCCTGCTTTGAGTAAACTGTAGTAGTCCAATGTAAAATGTTGTCAAAAGGCAAAATGCAGACAAAACACCAAAACCAGAGTGAATTCAGTTAAAAATGAAGCTGTAATGAAAGAGTTTATGCATAGCTGTATCCCCTTCCTGTGTCAGTAGTTTTTGAATCGGATTGAAACTAATATTTGACCTTAACTAGATCTTAGTATTGGATCTTAACATTAGACTGATTGTGTCAATGTGTGTGGATTTTTATAAAGATACCTTGTAAATGACCATTTTTGTATTTACTAGGTGTCACGGGATCTCGTGTGCTTCCTACAGCTAGACCATGTCAGTGTTTACTATGGACAGGACTATCGGAACAAATACAAGGCACCCACAGACTATTGTTTAGTGCTAAAGGTAACACTGCTGCAGTTGGCTGTACTTTGAATACACTTTTGCTTGTTCTGAACCATCAGCTGCTTTTAATCTAATTTTCCTCTAGTTCTTGTATACAATGTGAACAGTTAGTGAGCAGTTGTTGCCGTTTTCATATTGCCCTGAATTATTTCCAGATTTATGAGTCCCAGTCTGTTTAATTGTTCATACACTCTAAAGCATACACTAAAGTCTTCTTTTCCATTTGGCAACTCTATACCTTACAACTGTTTAGGTTCAAAGAGATAATGCCTCTTGAAATGCTAATTTCAAGGAGTTATCTTCACAGTGTAGGTCCAGAGGAGTGGAGAAATTAATATTAAAGATTCAAGTCTACCCTTTATAAACCAACCTGAGGGAAAAGGGATGTTGTAGAGGAGATATCTTCTGAGTATAAATGCCAGGCAGAAAGAATGAGTAGCAAAAACTGTTATAAAACCGGTGACCTGATCTTAAACGCATCTAATGACTTGAGTTCATAAAGTTATTTTAATTGAATCAACACATCTCCTAGTTTCTGTTGACTCCCACCTAGTGTTCAGAATGGTGTCAGTTCCTGCAAGATAGCTGGGTACCAAGCTATTTTAAAACAGGCTTTCACACTGTGTTCAGGCAAATAACAGTTCTTCGTGTGTCAGTAACAAGAGGTGTGGTTATAGTGCACTTTTCCCCTCCCTGCCCTGGAGCTCATGTGGTGTTGTACATGTCAGTACATTAGACTGTTTACTGTGCCTGGAGTGTGTGGTTGCCTGTCCACTGCCTGAAAAAGGATTTCATGTTCCAGTGGACAGGGAAACATGTCTTTGAGCCCACTGAGGAGACACAGAGTATTAAATATGGGATATGATATTAGGTGAGAAAGTACACAGCTAAAACTGGAAGTATTTTCCACGTTCTTATAGGTCACTGAATGCAAAAAAAATGTCAGTTATTTGTAGGTATATATAAATTCCTTGAAGTAAATTGACTTTTCTACTTACATGTCACTTTCATCTATATCATTTGGACAGATTCATAGTAAATTTTATTTTCAGACTTTCTGACGATACAAAGTAGATTTTAGTTTTTAAAAATATTGCCAATCTGAGCATCAAATTTAATGGTAACGTTACTGAAGACACAAAAATGTGTAGAAATTGTCCCCAGGTAAATTAATGGGGTAGATTTAGTTGGGTAGCTTATACCAATGAAGCTGTATTTTCTGTGTGGAACTGATGAATCACCAAATTATGATATTAAGCAGGATTCGGTTCTGCCTTCATCAGTTTTTATAATGTTAGATCAATATTTTCAATTAGTGCTAATGTATAGAAACCACACAGTTTTTAAAATAGAGTCTTGTGCCACAAAGTTCACTAAACTAGGAAGTTTCTCCTTGGGGACAGGTAAACGGCAAATACAGACTGAAGGCCCAATTCTCTACTGTTGTTCAGACTGGATTTATCTTCACTCCTTTGTTTATATCAAAACTTAGTGTGCTCACATTAGGTGCTCTGCTATTGTTAAATGTAACATTGGTGTGCTAGTATATAAAGTTAGCTCCTTGGTCCAAAATGTCAGATTTCTAAGAAATTCTTTTATTTCTATATAACCAAAGTTTTGAACAAGTCCAGAAAGAAGCTGGCGAAGTAGTTGTATTTGCTTCTACAGACTCTTCTTTGTTATACAACATGTATGTGTAGGAGGCTGGTAGTGAAAAATACTACCTACTATCATAAGAAAGTTTGTTATATATATTCTCTTATGGACACAAACATCTTATGTTCATTTTAAAATAATTGTGTTAGAAGGCAGCAGGATAGAATATTCTGAAAAAGCTTAGAAGTAAGTTCTTGGATATATGTTTCAAACAGTCTTCAGTAAAACTTAAATACCTACAGTCCTCTAGCAAAACTCTGTTGTGTCACTGAGCTGTAAGCTAACAGAGGAAATTCTAAGAACTGGGGTGTTCAGTTACCCCAATAGCTGAGAGATATCAGTAAGGTCGGAGCCTTGAAGGCTCTACAAGCTGAAAATAGAATTGTGCTTAACAGCATGTCACTTGGGGAGTGTCTCACTTAAGCCTGCAAAGGTAGAGAAGACCAGTGTGTTTGTTTTCCTCTAGTTTGGGGGATTTTTATGTGGGAGCAAGGTGAAACATCGGTTGTCTCTGTCAAGTGGTGAGTCAGTCCGTAGGTACAGAAGACTCTTGGTGGGTCAAAAGTACTACAGCCCTAGAATAGTGAAAGACTAGCCCTTTCTTAGTGTTTGAAATCAGTGTGTGCTGGACACACTTCCAAATGTGTGTGTCAAGCAATCCCCATTGAAATTCACCTCCTGAAATATTCTGGAACATTTTTAAGTGGGGTTAAATACACACTACTGTTGAAGAGCTTCCAGCATTAGGTTTATCTCAGTAGACATCAACAGCTAAATGCTTTCCTTGCATTCCTAGCTATGAAAACATTGATGAGAATGCACAGTTTTTTTGCAGCATCCTCAGATCCAGAAGAAGTCCCAGTACATCAAATATCTTTGCTGTGATGATGTAAGAACTCTACACCAATGGATCAATGGCATCCGCATTGCTAAGGTAACCCCCAGGCAGTCCTGCAGTGTTGTCATCATCTGCTTAAAACCGTTTACAGTTACTTAGCAAAATACATGGTAAATCTCACTTCCCTCTGTTTAACTATTCTGAACACGAACTGTAAAATCTTCTTACATTTTTCATTCCATAGCAAAACTGTTAGAGGCTTTGTTATAATAATTAAGTAATTGGGCCTTTTCTTCTTGTTTCTGCTGCACCCCTGTCACATGACACAGTTCTGACATCATAGATAGATTTTAGCCAGCTCCTTTCAGATTTTAAAAAAGAAGGCTTATGGGAAAAGAGAATTTAGAAAATAGAGTTGATTTTCAAGATCCTCAGCTTGTCTTAGTGTATTCATTGGGCCATTTCTTGCTTGACACTGTCTCTTCTAGCATAAATAATTTGTTTTTCTTTCTTTCAGCAATTCACTAATACTATTACTATTACCTGAACTCCTTAACATAGAGCCTGTGTTGTTTTGGGGGGACTGGCAGGAGGAAAGACTTAATAGAGAAGCCAGAGGTGGAGCTCAACAGTCTGAAGAGAGTGTACAGCCTATATAGAGTTGTTAAACTTGTTTGTGATTTTGTTTAGTATGGGAAGCAGCTTTACATGAACTATCAGGAAGCACTGAAGAGAACAGAATCAGCATATGACTGGACCTCCTTGTCTAGCTCCAGTATCAAGTCAGGCTCCAGCTCATCTAGTTTGCCAGGTAACAATGTGATCTATCTCATAATACAAAGATTGAATTGCCTTTATCATCTGCTGTCTAGATGCCTCAAGAGAGACTATTGCTGAAAATGGACTGTTTCTCCAAAGTCTTTTATGCTATGTTTAGTCTAAAACACAGACTTTATCTGTAACATTCTGTACGTGTATATCTATATATATGCATACAGGTAAAAACCTATTTCGCTGTATTGCTTGTATTTGAAATATGCAGCAGTTTCTTGTTCACCTTCAAAAACCAATGTTTTTCTTATACTGGGAGGAGGAAATATCATTTCAAATTCCTGATGCCTCTATGTTCACCTATTTGAAAAATCAAATTTATATTGTAATGATGCCTAGAACATATATACGTAGTTCTTAAACTGCTTTGTTGACTGAAATATTTGAAATTGGAAAATGAGAACAAGCCCCTGCCCAAAGGCAAAGATGCACACAATCTCTTTAGAGGAAACTTTGAAAATACTGTTTCTATTCCCATGTCAAATTGTGCATGCGTGCATTAATGTGCTCCTGTTTATCTCTCAGCAGAACTGGGGCTGGTTTCTTGTTGCATGTAACAGTTTAAAAATGGATAAATAGTTTATACAGTGTAATTTCATTGTTCAGAGCTGACTGATGCTTTGGTAGATTATTCAGAACCTTCAGGGTCTAGGTTCTTTATTGAAAATGTGCTGTTGTGTGAAGGTGTATTGTCTGCCACACATACAGGTTGGAAAGTAATGCTACTGAATTGCACAGGTTCAGAAAGTAGCCTGTAAGAACGAGCTAAGCAAATGCAGCCTAACTGGGAAGGTACCTTGTTGTTTCAACTGTGTGGCATAGCAGTAAATTCTTGGTCACTGACAATTTCTCCATCCAAGCTGGGTGTTTTTCTGATATAAGTATAAATTCTTGTAGGGAGCTGAGCCACAGCTCACTAGCCAAGCATGTTCTGCCAAAGTTTCATTCCAGCCTGTGCCAGGACACTTTGGGATTACACAGTAAGCAGGTGCCAGGCTGAATAAATTGATCTGGCTGTGCCTGCTGCTGTCTTGTCAAGACAGCTCTTGTGTGGACCCAGAGCATCATTTATGTTGGCTACTTGCAGGATGCACACCAGCCCTTCTCTTGTGCTGAGGAATGGGCTGTTGGAAGCAGTGTCCTGCCTTGGCTGGTGCAGTTTGCCTGTCCACAGCCTGTGCCCAGGGTACATTTTTAAGATTGTGCTGGAAGGGATTGCTGGAGAGAGCAGGCTGCATGCACTGCATGAAATGGGGCATTTCCCAAAGTGCAGGAAGGTGGCATGGTTCAGAACCCATACAGCTGCAGTGTGATTTTAGTTCAAAATGTATCTGACATGCTCTCATCCTTGTGCAGCTTCAGGTTTGGTTAATACCAGACATCAATTGAAATGGCCTGGATGTGAGCTAGAGTTTACACAGTCGTTACTGCAAGCGGTGGCGTCTGGGCACATGTTTAACAAGTCACAGAGTTGCATTGTATTGACGTTACTCCTACATCCAGAAACATATGCTAACTGTTCCTTAACTTTTTTCTTGAACAGAATCTCAATCAAATCATTCTAATCAGTCTGACAGTGGGGTTTCTGACACTCAGACAGCTGGACATGTCCGTTCCCAAAGCATTGTCAGCTCCATGTTCTCTGAGGCCTGGAAACGAGGCACTCAACTGGAGGAATCCAGCAAGGTAACAAGAAGACTTTAATTTGAGAACCAACGCCCAACAAAATGTGTGAGACAGTGTTGTACCTCTTACACCTCTGTCTTGAGTGGCATTTCTTCTCTGTTTTACGTGGTTAATTTACACTGCTATATAATTGTTTTTTAGGATTCACTTTTTCAGGTAATTAAGCCCTGCAGCTTTCTGTTCTTTCTTTTATTTGTGTGCATAGAAGCTTTTTGTTCTTTGAAGGCATTATACAGCCCCTCTCACAGAGTCTTATTTACTAATGTTGAATGAAGACAAAATAAAAAGATAAGCTGTTAACAAGTTGAATGAAATTCTTTCACTAAGATCTTTCTCCAGTTAAGTAGCCACATCTTTCCTTTGTAAAGATGTGAATAACTGGGGCCTGAAAGCAGGTATATATATTTTGAAGTACTTCAGTAGTTTTTACTCAAAAGTTTTCTGTTAGGTGGAAATGGAGCCAGTAACCTCAGGTATGGTCAAAACAAAAGTACTGACATTGTCAGCAGTTGTGGATTAAGGCAGATATGCTATCTCCTGTTGCTGGTAGAGAGTTACAGAAGACTTTAACCCATTGGGGTTGGGGCTCAGGTCTCTTGTGGTTTGGTTAGTTTTCTGTTCTTTGTATGGTTAACTGTTGTAGTTCCTGGGGAAGATTTCCATGCACAGGAGAAATTCTGCTGAAGCTGTTGGTTGTCAGGTTTGAAGGAATCTCCAGGTTCCTGAACAGTCTTGGTGTCATTAACTGTAGCAGCTACGTGTGGAAGTGCACTATGAGAAGCTGTCAGTACTTCTGTCAGTTCTGAATCTTCCCCAGACTCCAGCTTCAAGCTAGAGAAGGAGGTTTTTTAAAACCAAAACCACAGGCCAATACACCTGGCACTGGTGCTTCAGATAAATAACTAAAAATAAGATAACACATCTCCTTTTCAAATGAGAAAGCATATGACAGTGTGAAAGCTGACATGGCTGCATCCTTTGGGATTCATAACTTTTCTTCTATGCCTGCTGGCTTGGAAGTTGTCTGATTCTAATAGTAATGTAGTACTCAGTCCAGGAATGTAGCTTGCTAAGTTGTGGTCCACGTTTTCCTGCTGCATGAGTGCAACACATGGTGCATGTCCATCAGCAGATGGCTCCTGTGTGCGAATAGGATGCATCATTTCTGCAGGAGTGAGCTGCACGAGATGGGGCATTTGCTATCCAACAGAGGTGAAAGAGTACTTTTGTGAGAATGATAATGTTACTGTTTCTCAAGTTTTGGGTTCAGTGTAAATCCTGCTGGTACATATGCTGGCTGTGAGATTTTAAGCAAAAGTTTGAAGTTCACTGCCTTGGAGTTACTGTTGTTCTCTATCGAGCCTGTAGTGCTGCTGGCAATTGCTTATTTAAACCCCAATAATTTTTATGCTACATTATTAAAGCCATGGTAAAAATAACATACTCAGAATGCTTCCTGCATTGAGGAAGCTATCCATGTATCAAGATTTCATCAATTTGAATTCCTTTCTGCAAATCCAAGACAAGGTGTATTTCTTCACCTTATGCATAACACAGGTAAATGGGTTGCCCTAAAACTTCCAGAGAATCCAAATGAAATGAACTGTGTAAACTTACAGAAACTGTGTTTAAACAATTGAGTGAATTGGTGACAAATTTACTTTCAGTGAAACTACAGTGTAAATCTGGCCCGGGGAACTTGAATAACTAGGAAATCACACTGGCAGTGGAAAATGTTAAACTGTGTGGCAAGAAAGGCAACAGCAGTGTTCAAGAATTGTAATTTACATGGGAAGGTGTTACCAGTGATACTGAGATGTGCTTTAGTCAGATTAGTCTCCAGTTACCTCAGAGGCAACTTTGCTACAGTGCTTTGGTGTCAGAGCTGGCTTAAAAAGTTCATGTGGGCAGGTTGCTGCCGAGTGGCGGAACTTTCCTGCATGTCCCTTCCCCTTGTGCAACAGCTCTCTCCCACCTTGTCAGCCTTGCCTCCTTCCCCTGGGCAGGCAGGGCAGAACAGAGCATGCTGTGTCTCAGCAGGCAGATGGCATTGGTGCTCTTTCCAGCCCGGGCGTTGTACTAGTGCCTCAGCAAATTAATAATGAGTTCTGCCCATTTTTCCCTCATTTACCAGTAAGTTCCCAATAATTTCTTGAGGTCGAAAACATACTGAGATTGCTAGAGATCTATCATATTTGACCTAAATTTGGTAACCAGTCCAAAAGCATGGGAAAAGAGATGGCAAACAGTTCAGTTGCAAAAGTTTGTTTTCTCAGGAAAAAAAATAGCTAAAAAAAAAGGCACAGTTTATATAAAAAGAGATACTATTGTTTTTATAGCTTTTTTTTAAGAGTTCCAGATAGTCATGAAGATGCATGTTACAAATAGGAATTGCCAGTATGCAATAAATAATTTCTCAAGATACACAGAAGGACATCACATAATTATAAGGACAAAAAAAGGACAAATGAATCTCTCTCAAGGTTCTTCTGTAAAGAAAGTATCACAGACTGTTTCTGGATGTTGAAATTTATTTGATTCTGTTGAGATGGGAGGGGCCCCCCCCTCCTGAGATGCCCAATAGTCTTTTCTGTGTCCTGAATGTTTAATTTGTTCACTGTGAAGATGGCTGTCTTCAGTGGGTATAAGGAAAACACCGCCTTCTTTCAAATATATCTAAGATTAAGAAAAACTTTTCCCAAAATGCATATAATCCATCTGCTTCATATTTTGAAAGATTGCTCTTTGCCCAAAGAATACTTTATTCATTTGTCCCCAGCTGGGCAGTGAAGAGCTCATTGAGTCTCCTTTTGCTTGTTAGATTTTGAACACCTTATTTCAAATGCTATGCTACAACAAATACCCAAATGCATGCTCACTGTGTCTGCTTAAAGGGACAAATTCAAGATTCCCCAAGGTCTTGCCATTCAGGGGCTATTCTGTTATGCCTTCATCTCCCTCTGTCTGTTTTATGCCGCCTTTATTTTTCCTGTTGCCTTTTGCTGTCTCAGGTGTCAAAAGTGAAGCTCAGCACAACTAAGGGCAGCACACCCATGGTGCCTTATACAGGGCACACTTAAGGTCAGGTGATGCTAATTGAAAATTCATTAACCTGGGTGATTGGGAGAATGGTAATTTACAGACTAACACTTGCAAGAGATCAAGATTTCTGTTTTGTAATGTAAACACCTTGATTTAGTTCCAGACCTGTTAATATTCTTGCCTTCCAGACCTAATGTGACAGGTAGAGGCACACCCCACGTTTGTTGTAAAATCACTGTTTATTGCTTCTGACTCTAATCCTTTTGATGGAGTTCTGCACATGCAGACACTGCACACCTGTGTTTAGAACAAAGCAATACGCAAACGTTCTCTTCCGGTGCAGATGAGCAAAATTTGGCTTACTTATTGCAAAGTGTCTACTAATAAGGTATAGGTACCCAGTGTGGTCAGTCACTGTGGTGGTGGTGTATTTCTAATGCATGTTTCTATTCTCTGCACTGTGAAATTCACAACTTGGCTTGTAGCCAAAACACTTTGTATTTGGAGGATGTTTATAAATTTGAGTAATGCAATTGTTCTTTTAACTTTTAAGAGGAATGTAGGCTTACAGTTTTTGAGAAACAACTTAACTTGAGCACAACACGAGTAGACTAAAATACTGCCTGCTGCTTTCCCATTGATCCTTCCATTAGTCAGCTGTTCCCTGTTTTTCCTTTTTTTTCTGTTTAACATATGAGTTGCATGTGTAACTTTCCCAAGTGTACTTTGTTTTGCAGATGTCTAAACATTTCCTTCTGGGGAAATTTTCTAGGAAAACTAGGTTCTTCTTCTTCTTCCCTATTTTTTCCTTGCCAGTTACGGATAGTAGAGCATGTGAAGGAAAAATATCTCAGTACTATTCCTGTGCAGAGCTTGCTCTCTGTCTTTTAGAGCAGTTCAGGATTTCTGCATTTTGTAACACTGAACAGTGTAAGGCCTGAACTAAGGCCTTGAGGATTTGACGTGCTCTGGGAGACTGCGTGTGGTTTGATTCCAGTCATACTGAGCTGAGATGTCTACAGGGTCTGGCTCTGTCTCTGTCATGGCCTGGGTGCTCTGGGGTGGGCTCGGTTTGTGTCGGAAAAAAACTCTCGCCCAAAAGCAGGCCAGTAATTCTCACTGGGTCCCACTGCCTGCTCCAGGGAAGGAACAAGGCTGGTGTATTTTCCCTCTGACACCATCTTCGCTTGGAGCAGAACTGGCTCCACTGATTTTTGCCGGCTCCCCTCCTATCTCCCCCTCCCCTTGCATGGTCCAGGCTTGTCAGTGTATGGAATTGTCTCTTGCTCCAGTGTTTTCCTAGTAATTCTTGCATGCTGTAATCTGCCACTTAATTTTTAATGTTGGGCACATTTAGACCTTCACTTCATAATCTCTTTGTCTCTTTCTCTCTCTCCCTCCTTCCCTCTCTCTTCTTTTTCTCCCTTTCCACTTTCACTAAAAATCCCTTCCCCATAGGCCCGAGTGGAGCCTGCAGGTCGGCCCTTCGTGTCTGTCGCAGCTCCCGTGTCCCCGCAGACGAAAGCGGTGACGCCCTACACGGCATCGCAGCCGTCCCCGCCGCTGCC